TCAAATGGATGAACGTGAGAGTAACTGCTGTTGTACTATGACTTGCTGTTTTAATATGCATCACAGGCAGGGCTGAAATATTGATATGGAAGGTAGAGTTCCTTCAGGAAGGGTGGACAAGGGAGGAAAACAAATGTTGTATTATATTAAGACTCTGCGTAGTCTTTCCTGAAGTATAGGAAACACCCATTGAAAGGTAGAGATACAAGAGACAAAAGGCCAGGAGTCGACTGTAACCAGCTTGGAACAAGGACATAGATGAGGCATTTTTAGGCAGCTAAACAAGTATCCAGAAGGCAAGACCTGACTGTAGTGGAGGACTGTACCCAGACACCTGGAAAAGCGGCATGGCAGGCCATGGACAGTCCAGGTCATACTGCAGAAGTGACCATGGCATCAGCTGTTAGATTTGATAACAGCTAAGAGGGATAATGCTTGAAAATGTATAGGTGGAAGGTTAGTCGGATGAAAACGATCATGAGATTCACTGACCTAAGACAAGGAAAGAGGGTGAGTAGTAGAGCAAAGATAACTGGTTTAAAAAAGGCACTCTTTAGTAAACACAGGAAACTGGTAGAATGGCTCTCATGGGAAGATAATCAAAGGGGTAAAAGCATGCAGAATAGCTGGCTGCTACTAAATAGACTGTTAACTCAGCTACACACCCTCCCACAAGAGAAGAAGGATGAGAAACACGGTAAGAGAGAAGTCTGGCTATATCAGGACTCTTAAGGATCTGAAAATCAAAAAGGAGTAATGCAAAAAGCAGAAACAAAGGTCTGTGATTCAGGATAACTGTAAAACAGCAGGACCATGTAAGGAGAACATCAGAAAGAGTGAATATGTAAATGAGTTGCAATTAACAGCAGACATAAGGCAATAGAAAGGGTCTATAAATGCCTCCAAACAGAAGTCTAGGTCTTAACAGGAAAAGAGCAAATAAAAAATCATAGGACATGAGGGTTGAAGGGACCTCAGGAGGTCACATCTAGTCCAACCTCCTGCTCCAATCAGCACCAGCCCCAGCTAGATCATCCCAGCCAGGGCTGTGTCTAGCTGAGTCTTAAAAACCCCTAAGGATGGAGATTTCACCACCTCTTTGGGTAACTTGTTCCAGTGCTTCACTACCCTCCTTGTGAGTGTTTTTCCTAATATCCAACCTCAACTCCCCTTGCTGCAACTTGAGCCCATTGCTCCCTGTTCTGTTGCCTGCCCCCACTGAGATCAATCCAGCTCCATCCTCTTTGCAGCCCCCCTGCAGGGAGATGAAGGCTCCATCTTCTCTTCTGCAGACCAAATAAGCCCAGTTCCTCCCTGTCTCTCCTCACCAGTCCTGTCCCCCAGCCCCCCGAACCATTTCCATTGCCCTCTGCTGGACTCTCTCCAATTTGTCCACATCCTTTCTGTAGTGGGGGGCCCGAAACTGAACACAGGACTCCAGATGTGGCCTCCCCGGTGCTGAACAGAGGGGAATAATCACTTCCCTTGACCTACTGACAATACTTCTACCAATGCAGCCCAGGATGCCGGTAGCTTTCTTGGCATCAAGGACATGCTGCCAGCTCATATTCAGCTTCTTGTCCTTTGACCCCCCCCCAGGTCCTTGTCTGCACAGCTGCTGCCCAGCCTGCACTGGTGCATGGGATTGTTCCCTCTTAAGTGCAGGACTTTGTGTTTCTCCTTACTGAACCTCATGAGATTTCTTTTGGTCCAGGTCTCCAATTTGTTGAGGTCTCTCTGAATCCTAGCCCTACCTTCCAGCATGTCTACTACTCCCCCTGGGTTCGTATCATCTGCAAGCTTGCCGAGGGTGCACTGCATCCCATCTTTCAGGTTGTTGATGGAAATGCTGAACAAGACTGGCCCCAGGACCGACCGCTGGGTCACTCCACTTGATACCGGCTTGCCAACTAGACATCGAGGCATTGACTACTAGCCTCCGAGCCTGATGCTCCAGCCCACTTTCCATCCACCCTATGGTCCCTTCTTCCAGCCTGTAATTCCTTCGCTTGTTTGTGAGAATGTTGTGGGAGATGGTATCGAAAGCCTTGCTAAAGTCGAGATGTATCATATCCACTGCTCTTCCTGCATCCGCAGGGCCAGTCATCTCATCGTAGAAGGCAATTAAATTGGTCAGGCATGACCTGCCCTTGGTGAATCCATGCTGACTGTCCCTAATCGCCATCCCCTCCCCCAAGTGCTTAGAAATGGACTCCTTGAAAACCTGCTCTGTCATTTTTTCCAGGAACTGAGGTGAGGCTGACCGGTCTGTAGTTCCCTGGATCCTTCTCCTTCCCTTTCTTAAGGATGGACACTGTATTTGCCCTTCTCCGATCATCTGAGACCTTTCCCAATTGCCACAAGTTTTCAAAGATAATGGCCAGAGGGTCTGCAATCCCATCAGCCAACTTCCTCATCACCCTCTGGTGCATCCTGTCCAGCCCCATGGACTTGCACACCTCCTGCTTTTCTAAATAGTCCTGAACCCATTCTTGTGCCACTGTTGGCTGCTCCCCTCCTCTCCAAACTTTGCTACCTGGTGCAGTAATCTGAGAGCTGCCCTTGCCTGTGAAGACGGAGGTGAAAAAGGCATCAGGTGCTTCAGCCTTTCCCGCATCCTCTGTCACTAGGTTGCCTCCTGCGTTCAGTAAAGGACCCACACCTTCCCCGAGCTTCCTCTCGTTGCTGACACGGATGACGTATAGAAGACCAAAGCGTTTCACTTCTTTGCTTCACTGTTTCCCAAAAAGTCAACTCTGACCAGATACCTAACTAAAACCAGGCAAAAGGTTAGCATAGGACAGGCTGGGTAAGGCGTGTGTTAAAGAAAGGAGTTAGGTAAGTGAGATGTGTCTGAGTCAGCAGGGCCTGATGAAATCAACCTTGAGAACTCACCAAATTAGCGGAAGCAAGCTCTATCAAATTTAGCGGTTATCTGAGTTCTAGAAAGGGCAAACCTAGTTCCTCTTTCTCTTCATTCTTAAAAAAAAAAAAAAAAAGTGTGGGCAGGGAGAAGGGCAGGTCCTGCA